GTACCTGACAGTAACTCTGATAAAGTGGTTTAGAGTCAAGGGGACAATGTTGTCACTTGTGAGTTCTGTAACCTTGGGTAAACTGTTTAACTGCTCCCAGTACCATCCGCAAAATGGGGGATGATAATCTTGCCTTGCCCAGAGGGAAATTGCAAGGATTCAATGCAATCATGCTTGCCACATTCCCAACCTAACCCCACAGAGGATAATCACTACTGTGAATCCTATTAAGCCAGTGTGGTTTGGTGAAAGGAGCACTGGCTTTGGCCCTGCAAGCTCCCTTCACCACTTACTAGCTGTGTGACAAATGCGATCAACTAACCTGCTTGACCATTAGTCTTCACATCTGTAATGTGGGGCCCATCATGCTCACTTCCAAATGTGGTTTTAAGGAGTAGAGACCATGGGGGGCACCTGGGTGGCTCAGCAGGTTAAGCCTCTGCCTTCAGCTCAGGTCATGATCTCAGGGTCCTGGGATCAAGCCCCGCATCAGGCTCTCTGCTCGGCGGGGAGCCTGCTTCTCCCTCTTTCTCTGCCTGCCTCTCTGCCTACTTGTGATCTCTCTCTGTCAAATAAATAAATAAAATCTTAAAAAAAAAAAAAAAGGATTAGAGACCATGGGTGTAATAGCTACCATAGCTGTAGAAGACAGACAGGTGAAGTGAATTAGTGATATGGGTTGAGTGTGACAAGCTGAAGAAATGTCAAGCAGGGTAGCTGTGACTCAGCAGCAGCCAACTGTCACCATCCAGGGATTCAAAAATGTGAATTGTTATTCAATCTAATTTGTTAAGAGAAGCATGAAATTTTAATTTGAAAATTAGTTTTTAAACCATGGCAAGTAATTAGAAGTTTTTCAGGCAATGTGTAGGTCAGGCAATGTGTAGTGTTAGATTGGATTCCCACTTGTTTATTCACACCCTTGGCCATGAGACTTTGCAGGAGGCAGAATAGATCTCCCCACCTCACTGATGTTTGGCTTGTCCTTGGGACTTGCTTTGGTGGGTGGACACAGGGTGAACAGATGTGTATGGGTGATTTGGCTTATCTTTTCACTTTTTCCAGAATCCATCAAGAGAGAAACAAGCTCCTGGAACTCACTGTCCCAGAATGAGACCTGAGGGGTTGACCTGATGCTGAGTTACCCCAGGTAACCGATAGCCCCATGAGTGAGAAAAATAAGACGTTTGTTGTTATAAACTGCTAAGTTATGGATATTATTACAAAGCAAAACCTAACTCATGCACCACTCTTGGATTCCCAGTTTGAGATCACCCAGGTTAAGAACCTTGTAAATGACTGATATGTGGTGTGTACTTAATAATGGTTGCCCTTAGAATTATTCAGGGCATGACAAATCTCTTGGGATTCCTATAATAGAAGTTAGGCTTAGGCCAATGCCTTATGCAATGTTTGTTTTGTGCTGATTTGACCCCTAAGAAACTTGAACCTACCTATCTCTATTATATTCTTATATACCTGCAGGGATAACTGTCACCTTATAATGTGCCTTAGAATTATAGACTGTAAAACTGAACAGGATAATACATGGTAAACAGTGTTTTCATGATTTCTTGCTTGGTCGTTTTTAACTCTATCTGTTCCATCAACATGTATGATAGAACTAGGTATTAAGAATTCAGATGGAGGGGCATCTGGATGGCTCAGTTGTTAAGCGTTTGGCTTCGGCTCAGTTCATGATCCTGGGGTCCTGGGATTGAACACCCTATGGGCCTCCCTGCTCAGTGGGGAACCTGCTTCTTCCTCTCCCACTCCCCCTGCTTATGTTCTCTCTTTCACTGTGTCTCACTGTCAAATAAATAAATAAATACAATCTTTCAAAAAAAAAAAAAAAAGAATTGAGATGGAAATGATTAAGCTGCTCAGACCTGGGAAAGTCTAGGGGGACAGTGAGGTATATTTAGCAGCATCAACAAAACCTTGTAAGGAAAGCACTAAGGTAGAAGCAAGAGCCAAGTGTCTCTTAAATCTCAGAGGGATCAGTAGATCCTGACAGCTGGGGAGGCAGCTCTGCAAACATGAGAATCAAGCTGGGCTTTTAAAGATGAAGAACTTTGGTTATGTAAGAATGTGTGGGATGACATTCTAAGAAGGAAAACCATATGCAAAGTCACGTGTGACATTAGCAATTGGTGTATTCAGAAAATTGGGAGGAGCCTAGGTAGATGGTGAATCAGTTGCAAGTGGGGAGGGGTTAAAAGCACAACATCAAGGTAAATGAGGACCAGGACATGAACTGCATGGGGTGTTGTAGATGTTAGTTTCCAAAGATGGCTGCCATCAGTTCCTTCCCTTTTCATATGCACACACCGTTTACCCATCAAAGAGTAGAGGCTATGCCTCCAGGCCTTGAATCGGGCTCCTTTGATGTATAGCACAGAGAAGAAGTGACCTTGTGTCAGTTCCACCCCCTGGCAATTTATGTTTCTCCTCTATTGGGATACCAGCTCTTGGAACACTCCTTTTCAGAACCCAACCATCATTCTGTGAGAACTCTGGAGAGGTTCCTCAAAGGCACTCCAGTTAACAGACCTGGCTAAGCTCCTACCTCATAGCCAGCAATGTGAGGGCACCATCTTGCATGTCCAGCCTGGTCAAGGCTCTGATGAATCCAGCCCCAGCCAGTGTATGGGCCACTAATTGCAGACCACCCAGCAGAGACCAGTGAGCTCTCAGAAGGGTAACTGATGATAATAAACTGTCCTCTTGAGGTGGGTTGATTTGCTGTGCAGCAGTAGATAACTGGAACAGGTGTCAAATAATTTGTCCTAGACATCAATTGTAATGACTACATATTGGTGACTTAAAAGACTTGATAAAATGGTGAAGTGGTGGGGGATAAACTGGAAATTCTCTCAGCAGAACTCTAATGGGTACACAATAAATTAGCAGTTCCCTCTATGTCCTTTGGCTCTTTTGCTATTGTATTGCACATTTCCTCAAAATGCTAATATTCTAGAGAAGCGATGTGATGTTCTAGAAAGAGTGCAGTCTTTGTAGTCAAGGGAGGTCCAGATTCAAATCCCAACTATGTCACCCATGAGTTATGAGATGAAACAAGTTATTTAATGGAGTAGACTGTGCCCTACATGGATGTCCTTTCTGAGACTGGCACACCCATGCCAGGGCACTAGGACTGTTGCCCTCTATTTGGCCGTTTTCTCGACAGAACTGCCCTGAGCTGATGGGGCCCATCTTGTTCCAAAGGTTACAGTCTCCTACGCCCTGGGGATGGCTTCAGCCAATGACTGACTGGTACAGGTACACAAAAGTCTGGCGGCTTAGCTCAGGAAGGGACAGTTCTGTAGTGAGGTCTGTGTTCTGAGCCCTCTCTTCATGGATCAGGTCCCAAAAATAGAATAGACACCAGGAGTCCATAGCTTTTGTAGACTCTTTCCCCTTCCCTATCCTGTTCCCCCACCCGCAACTATCTTAAAAATTCCTTTTCTTTTACCTGAAGAACACTCCTTCAGTAATCTTGTGCCCCCAAATCCTGATCTCAGGCTCTGCTTCTGGGAATCCCAACCAAAGACACATGACCTCCCTTAGCTTCGCATTTTCAAATTCCCCTTTCCAGAAATTGCCAAGATGATAAATTAAAATTACCTGGCACTTAAAACACGTCCAACACACACTAACAGATTTTGTCTCTCATCTTCCTCACTGGTGGAAAACAAAGCGGAAAAACACGAGGAACTTTCTTTAAACAAAACAAGTCCTCAAGTGAATTTTCCAGAGTCTCGTACAGCAACTTTTGGGCAAGCAAGCATTGATATTTATTTATTTATTTATTTATTTATTTATTTTTAAAAGATTTTATTTATTTATTTGTCAGAGAGTAGGCAGAGGCAGACAGGGGCGGGGGGGGGGGAAGCAGACTCCCCGCTGAGCAGAGAGCCCAATGTGGGGCTCGATCCCAGGACCCTGAGATCATGACCTGAGCCGAAGGCAGAAGCTTTAACCCACTGAGCCACCCAGGTGCTCCTAAGCATTGATTTTTAAAAATGAAGATATTACTGCCAGCTTTGTGAAGAAGCTGTACAGATGAGCTGAAATAATCTCCATGAGCCTTAAGTAGGGTTGGTGCAGCATAAACTCTCAGTGCCTGGAAACTACTGCTCTTACAATTGCCAAACTCCAGAAACACAAGCTAGATCTTCCTTGTTCAGACACTCCCACATCTGCCCAAGTGAGCAGGGAAAGGAATCAGACTTGACAAAGGGTAGCAGGGCTTTCACAAGTCCACTCCACATGCAGGCTGGGTGCCAACTCCAAGCTCCAGAGTTCTCATAATTGTGGGCAGATTTCGCCGCTGTGCTCACAAACAGCCAGACTCACTTGCGTTGGTTGTTAACGCAGTTTATTATTGGCACACTTATCAGTAAAGCATACATAAAATACAGCTGTTTTATAACACACGGAGCCACTGTGTCTTTACATGTGTGGAAGAACATATTAATATGCAAATGGAAAAATTAGTTCTCTTATAAAGTTTCACATAAATACACTGGAATTGCCCCAAAAGAAAAATCCCCATAAAAGAACCAAGGGAGGGCTTTACAAAATATTATACAAGAAATATACTATGAAAAGAATCAACAGTCAACTCAGATACAATAAAAAACACAAAAGTTTCAGATTCATTAAACTGCCCACAAAATTAATGGATTACATGGCTTGAAAAGATTTGGATCAACAGCAATTTTACAAATGCATCAGTTCTCAATGGGCCAGGTAGGTGTCTTTCTTTACATAAAAATCCATCTCTGTGTCTTCGATGACAAAAAGACATTTCTTGTTTCAGTACTTGGACGATTGAATGAACTCGGGTTGGAGAACCGATTGACATTAGCTCAGCCATAAATTACCCTGCTAGGCCCTCTTAGCTGTTACCCAATGAAAGAAAAGGTGAAGAAAATAATACAAATAATAAGGATACACTTAAATTACTGTCCAAAAGCTGATTTTTTTTCTTTTCTTTTTTTACTGAAACAAGAAACTCTCAGATGCAAGTCAAAAAGCAGAAAATATTTTACAATATTAAAAAGTCATCTGTAGTTAGGGTCGGCATATAATGAGACCCTGAGCACTGAGGGCATATTGACAATATGGCCTTCGTTGTGTTGGGGCGGGCTTGTGGGGGGAACATAATTAACAAACATGTGGTTTAACACTGAGCCAGGAGAAGCGGGAGCATTCACTCTGGTTTTCATTACTATCAGCGCCAGTATCTGTGTTACCTGCGAAGGCCTCCAGGGAAGGGTCATGGAAGTTTATTGGAATAATCCTCTCAATTCAAAAGAAAAAAAGAAACTCAAACCCAGATCGTTGTGGTTTAGAAATAGCATTTGCGTGGAAAAGTTTTTTTTTTTTTAATTTTTTTTTTTTTTTTTAATTTCTCCTCCTTCCTCTCCTGAAAGCAAGGATCTGCAAGCGTGGGTGTACCCCACGGCCTACTGACAGTGGGTGCAGGTGCGGGTCAGTCTCACTGGGGAGCCTGGGGCGGGGCGTTTTCTGGTTTGGTCTCTTGAGCGGCGGGGGGTTTACTGCTCCACGGGCTGCTGTTCCCCAGGGCGGGGGGGCTGTTGAAGTCTTCCTCGTCGTCCACGCCGTTGGCCGCGTCATATTGCGTGTTTTCTAATCTAGTGATTAGCCTTTCGTCCTCGTCCCCAAACTCACCTCCCATCAGAGTTGGCTCTCCTACCACCATCACATCCTGTGAACAGCAGCTGACATTATTACAGGGAAACCTTGGGACAGAGAAGCTCAGCTTAAAATACTAGCGGGAGGAGCTGGGGGATCTAGGACAGACACACTCGTGTACTGTGCCCCGGGGTCAAGTCTCAAAGTCGGGGGCGAGACGCATATTTGATTTCTACAGGAAATAAACATTGCCTCCTGACGTGGAACAACCACGCGAGTTTATGTCCTTAGTGCGCAGCCTGACACCGGAGAACGAGCAATGCTAGCAATCTGCAGAAATAAAAAAATGGATTTTTCAAAATTAAAAAAATCCACGCTTTTAACTTGCTGACATTGGGGACTTTAGAGAGGGCTGTGGAAGCTTCTGCTGGGTGCTTTCCAATACCTCCAAAAATCCGCCACTTTTTATTTAGGGCCTCTGAATGCCTTTGGAAACTAGCAGCCAACGTGGGGAGGATACGGTTCTATGGTATTCACGCAACATTCCAAATGGCATTCTCTCTATCCCAAGGACGGTATACATTTTAATTGAAGACAGAATCTCTCTTTTTTTCTATTCAGCCAGGCCCTTTTATGCAGCCAATATCCTTGACATTCTGCTACTTAATTATGGTAATTAATTTAGGTAAAGTTTTCGATAAAAACAATGTTCACACTGATTTGACAATTTGCATAGCTAATTAAGTCATTAGCAAAAACCTGCTGATTGCCAACAAGCCCTGAATTTACCATCTGTTATTTCATGGTGCCTGTCACCTATCCCCACACAGACAACCCTGCCACCAATCTGGGCAGTAAAGAGAACCAGTCTGTCCAGCTGGTGCCATAAAAGGAAGATGAAGAGCACTAATTATAATTACATTGATGAAGCTGGTAGTCATCAGAAATGGAAGTGTGCAAGAAGAATCCATCTCATCACTCCTTTAAGTACAAATTGTCCTTCCATGCAAACAAGGAAACCACCCACTGTTGCCTGGAGCATCATGGAGGCCACTGCTGGAGAGGCACAGGGCTGGGGACAAGGATGCACACACAGGGCACAGCTCCAGCCTCTTTGTTCAAAGGGGGCTATATGGGGTTGATGGGTGACCTGGGCATGGGACAGGACACCTGTCAGGTGATACTGCTGGGCAGGCTGTGAGCACTAGTCTACTCAAAAGTGCAGTGACTCCCGGGGAGTGCCCAGTACAGTCATCTGCCTTGGCCAGAAAAAGCAAGGCTGAACCAGATGCTTTTGGACATGGAAGGGTGTGTTTCCTGACAGGGAGGCTAATTGGATGAAATGCCTTGGCAACTAGGCAAAAACCGTCTTCACTGGGGGCAAGAGAAGCTTTTCTGGGACAGTGTGGTAGAATACTGCCTTTGGTCAGGAGAAGGTCCAGTGGGCCCTCCAGTTTCCTTCTAGAATTCTGAAGGTGCCAACTGAAAGGAACCCTTAATGGCTGCCTGATCGATTTCAGAATGGAAAACCTTGTTTGAGTGATCGACTGACTCCCCGAGAATTATGGGGGAGATCATCAATGGATTTCCAAACTGTGTTTTCGGGCTAGTCACTCCTGTGATTTGACAAACATGATTTTAAAGAGCTATGTCCCAGGTGAAGTAAATGCCTCAAATACGAATTGGGTAAACTCAGCAATACAGGTGCTGGCGGGGAAATCAGCAGTGTGCTTCAAAGAACATACTGATTATGCAGCGAAGAGCCAGACGTGACACCAACATGGACTCGAGATGAGAACAACATAGACAGAGACTCTGACTGGCAAGAATACGGACAGGACTGCAGATGGAATGGGCTCTCCAGAGAGGAGGGGACGTTATCGGGTTAGCCGCACCACCCACTAGGGGTGTTTTGGACAAAAAAGTGCTGCTTGGTTATAGGCAATCAGGAGACAGTGTTTATGATCAGGAATAAAGGTGGGGGAAAGAACAGGGCAAGATTGAGGAGAGGATGATATGGATTAATCTCGTTTCAGGACTTACGTGCAACAAGCACACTTTGGAAGGGTTGGAAAACACATGCGTGAGGTGTCACAGGACAGGAGAAGGGCATGGGGAACAACCATGTGGGTCTGCATTAGTATCGTGAGTCCAAGGTCATCAAGAGAGGCTGGGACAGTGTGGGGAGGTAAGCATAATTTGGAAACAGAGGAGAAAAATCAGAAGGCAGCTTAAGCGTGACATTAGGCAAAGGTCCTCAACGCTCCAGGTGCCTTCATCGCATCAGAAAAATAATGGTCATTCATGAAAAATACTATGAAAATAGTGATTTGAATCGCTCCAAATGGGTCTGATATCGGCTCATAGTGGTTGGAACAGCTGGAAGAGATGCCCAGGCATAAATCCTTGTCAGCATCCTGAATTTCAGAGAGATGCATTTGCCTTCCTGACTGTAAAAGAAAATCCTCAGCCAGATACATGATCCTATGTGTACACGTGTGAGTGATTGATAGATGACAAGCTATGAAAGAGATGTGTGCTAAGAGCTTCTTAGGCACATAGATTCTTGAGGCCGCTTATACAAGTACGAACAGGGCTCTGCCTGGCTCTACGGAACCTGCAGACGAGAGGAGTGGTTCTCTGCTCAGGTGATCTCGATTTGTTAGCCTCACACAAAATGAATGGAGACATAGTGCACGTTCTGGGCTGCCTCTCACTAGTGGACGTTGGCTCCATCTTCCCCACCCCCACATCTTTAAAAATCCCCCCAACATTCAACATCGGTAGTGAGAGGTGCATTTCCATTGTCTGCTATCTCGTGTGTCCCACAGGAGGCAGGGCTGGTGTGTCTGAGAGTAACCCAGATGCCCTCGGCTCCCCATGAGGCAGACCTCTGCTCCTCGCTGGAGGCCTGGAGGTGCCACCAGCTCTTGCCCATGTCACATCTTCTCACTAATCCCCCGTGCAAGGACCACCAACCTCTGAGGAGGACTGGAAGTGACTCCTTTCAGGGCCCCTCAATGCTTCTCCTTAAATTGGCCAGAAGGGGTCACTGCTGTTGAATGACACAGGTCTCCATCCCTCCCAGGGTTGAGGCTGCAGTTCGGGATCGCTCCTAGCCCCTGCTCATGGAGTGAGAAGCAGAATCCAAGGATTAAACCCTAGTCCTCACCAGACACACACTTTGCTGCCGTGGCAGCTAGGCAGACCACAGTTGTGGTCACAGTGGCACATAAAATCTGGTCATGCCTGTGAATGAGACAGCCAGGGCTGCAGATTGCGTTCCATTTTAACAGTAAAATCGTGTTGGTAGTTCAGTACTCAGGGTTAAGAGATGTGGTCACTACAAGCCAGACGATGCTTATCATTTAATGTCCATTCAACTGGAGTGCACACAGAAATGTGTACATTTTTCCTGTTGTCTTTCCCTGCCCTTCTGGGCCCTCTGTAAGTTTTACTCTGTTAAAACTTCTTTTAATTGCATGGGATGGTGCTGAAATTCTGCTCTCACTTTTTAATGGTGCCTTGTTCTCACCGAGTCCAAAGGGTCTCAGCTCACTAAGAACCCTCTCGACACAGGTATCCTCCACTAAAATGCAGTTGGTGGACTGGAGGAAAGGAGCATCAGGGAGTAGAACAAATTACGTGCCCTTTAAAATAAAATTGAAATGTTTCCAACGAGGCCAGGTATGTCAAAATGCATGACACTTATGCCATTCTTCTACACCTGAGACGGACATCACTAAGGGACAGCCTGCCAAACCCAGTCTGGGCCTTAGAACGCTACTCAGTGCCAGACCCTGTTAGTTGACACCAGGAGACTGAGTGGGCAGGAGATGGGAAAATTCTTGGCCATCCCTCAAGTAGACGCTGAGCTCTTCTATGACAGGGCCTGGGTTTTTGTTGTTGTTTGTTTGTTTACTCTTGGTATAGTGAGGGGCACATAGTAAGAGCTCAGGAAACATTTGTTGAACTGAGCTGAATTCTTGCAGCCATTGTGCCTTTAAGTAGCAATGTCACCGTTCCAGAATCCTCTGGAATGCACTCTCATTTGCTAGGGCAAACTAACAAATGTTAGTTTTAAAACTCTAGGAGTAGATGAATAATGGGCTACTTTTGAGCACTTCTGGGTTGATTTATTTATACCAGGCCATTTTCTCTATACATTTTCCAATTTAACCAAGAGTGGGCCTAACTTATTGGTACCTTAATAAAAAGACTCTGTTTTACTTCTTTGATTTTTTTTTTTTTCCTGACTCTTTAGCCCACTTCAGAAAAACAGAGGTGAGTCTGGCATTATTTAAAGACTATAACTCCTAGCAGTCTTAAAATTAAAATGGTACCTTCCCCACAGGCTGGCCACTCTCTCCATGACCCTTTCTTTCTAGTGCAGTGAGGACGAAATCCATACCCTCTGTCTATGGAAAACAGGAGAAGAGTCCCCGTGGTCCCGGGGATTCTCAGGTACTGATGGCATTGGTTTTAGCCAAAGAAAATGGACTGATGGAAAGTGGGTGAAAGTGGGTCGGGGACAGACTTGAAAGACACATTTAGAAGTAAGTGGAGAATCCCCATGAAAGAAGGGTCCACTCTCACAGGGGGAGAGATGTGAGGATGACAGATCAAGGTGGGGGGGTGGTGAGAAAGAGGCAAAAGGTCAAACTGCATGGGTTGAGGGAAGTAACAAGAAATAGAGCACATTTCCCAAGACATGGTATCTAGAGGATATCCATGGAGCACCACGAAAGTGTCGGGGCTCAAAGGACAGTCAGACGCCTGGTGACAGGGTGGTGTGGCTAGGGAATCAGAGAAGGAGCACCCACAAGCAATCGTGAAGGGGACAAGGGACAAGAAATGCTTAGAGGAGCATGAGAATTTAAAAGCGATAAATGATCTGACACTGGGCTGAGGGATTTGGAGTCAGGAAGGAATTGGGCAGACAGGACAGGACTTGAAAATAAAAGTAATAGGAGATGAAGAAAGATGAAGAAAGGGCCCACACGGTATACACTCTTTGGGGACACCCGTCAGCTGTCAGCCTTGGAGTTCAAAGAAGCCTCCTTCTCAGTGGCCCATTTCCTTTGTCAAGACCCAGAAATGAAAGGGTCAAGAGGTCAAGAGAGCTGAGACCAAACCAGGGCCTGACCCTCCCCCTGAGCTCATGAAATGGGTAAAGTGGAATCCACTGAGCTGCATTTTGAGTGGCCGGGAGTTAATTACCTGAGTCTTAAAATACGAAGGGACACCCATGTCGGGAAGGCCCAATCCAATTACAATATGGAGCCTGAACGCCGGGAGCTAGTTTCCAGTGGAGCACGGGGTCTCCGGTGATGGCGCCGAGAGCCCCTTCTATGCCACCAGGCATTGCTGCTAAGTGATATTTTAATTAAACCTTAATGACATATCTCCTGTCTGTGACTCTGACGGCTTTTTAATTCAGGTCCCTGCGCAGCACAGACTCTTAATATTCCTTTCTAATTCCCAGGTTGCAAAGGAAGGTTTCCATGGCAGAGCTCCTCCCTCCCCCCCTTGCCCTCCCCTAACCCCGGCCTTGCCCTCCCCCGCCCCCAACCTGCCCAGAACGCTGTTGGCAGCTCAAGGAGGCTTTCACGTGGGCCCCTGCAGGTGGAAGACAGGCAAAGGCAGGATTTCAGGCCTAAAAGGAAAGCGAGACTTACAGGTACCTGACTGGACAGACTCAGGTTGGCGGCCGGTGTCTTCTTCTTGCTGCCGGTACTGTTGGCGTTGTTGCCGGCACTGCTGTTGGAAGTGCTGCTGGTGGAGTTTTTCCTTTTTCTCCGTTTGGTTGTCGGCTGCCTTGTGGGTTCTGCTGCACAATGGAAAATGGACGGAGGATCAGTTCCAGGGCGACGGTCAGAATACTGTCCCTCCAAGGAGGCTGTGCTTGTGAATTGAAGAGTAGACTCTAAATTGTTTCCATTTCTTTTAACTTTACACAGAGTAAAGGAAGGAAGCCGTTTTATTTTTAGCACAACATGCGTGCAACCCTCTTCTTTGGTATCTAAATGGAATGATTTGTGTTTTATCGTGTTTTGTGAACGTTATATGGGTGTCTGGAATCTATTTTATATTTTAAGGGCCAGCCGCAAATACCACTTTTATAGTTGAGTTAAAAGTCTTGTTACCATTTCAAAATTGGGGAAAACATTTTTCTCTGGACTGTCATTTCTTTAGAGCAAAAGGAGGGCCTTGATTTCCCTTGGGGTGTGAGAGAAAAGATGAAACTGAAATAAGGTGGTGAACCTGGGTAGTAGCTTTGTCTCCGGGTAAGTGCCCAGTGCCATCACACCTGGAGATGCTCAAGTACAAAGAAGAAGCATGAGTTCTGGCAGCTGTGAATGTAAAACGTAGGGTCCCAAGCTCAGTATGGTTCTCAAGTTGCATGGTTTGGACTCCGATGTTTAAAGAATGCTACTAATTTCAATGTTCCTGGGGGAAAAATGTCCTAGTGTGCCACAGCCAGCATATTCATGAAGGGGAGCTAAATCTTTTCAAGAAAGATTTAGAAATAGAGGACAATATTTTGGACCGGATGGATGGGGAACATCTTGGAAGCATAGGGACCTGTGGTGATGGGTGGTCAGATGAATATTATTTATTTATACATTATGTAGTGAGTTTTACCAAATGTTTTCATGTTCTTCATGGTTTCTATGTCCTGTCTTATATTCATAGCAATTCTATTAATTAGATACTCTTCTAATATGTGCTTTGTAAATGAGAAATGTTCAGAAACTTTTTCCAGGCAGTTACTCAGTTGGAAATGGAATGTAAGAGCATCCTTTTTGCTAACCCTAGACTTGACCCAACTCTGATGGAGAGAAGGTGAGCCAAGGCCATACCAGAACCAAGTGAGAGGACCTTGTGGCATTTTCTTAAAATACCTATGCTGCTTCTGATGGGCAGTGGGCAGGATCTCCTTTAAGGATCATTTCAAAGACCACCTAGTCCACCAAATTATCCCTGACTTTTGAGGAAAAAAGGGATTATGTTCCCATTTACATACCATTTTTTTCCCTTCATGAATATTTTGTCTCTTATGTTTAAAGATTTTTATCAAAGGGCCTAACATGTCTGTCCACAGAGAGTTATGGGTGCTTGTCCTAAAGGTTGGGGAAATAGGAAATAGAATTGTTCTAGCTCATGGTGCCAGAGTTGAGTGACACGTTCAAAGTCAATCAAATACTCAGTTCCCCTGATAAACATCTTCTTCCTTTACCTCAAGAATTAAAGTCGGCTACTTTTTTTTTTTGAAATCTGTACTTCTTTTGTGAAATTTTGGGGAAATATACCTAAATTGTGTACTCTGGATTACTCCCATTGGCAGCAAGTAGCTGAAGTCATAGAGTCATGAACTCTGGAGACATAAACACCTCTTGTGACACAGACCTCCTTCACTGATCAGCTATGAGATTGTCTTTGGCAAATTACTGCTTAAATCCCAGGCCCTGTATATTTGAAATGGAAGTAATATTGAATACCTCATAAGGTTATTGTCAGGATTCAGAAAGAGAATGTAAGGTCTGGGAGGGCTGGGATTTCTGACTATTTCATTCAGTGCTGTACCCCTGTGACTGGAACAATGCCTGGCACCTATTAGGGGCTTAATCAATAATTATTGAATGAATGATTGAGTTAATAAATGATATATAAATTATATATGCATATATTGGAAAATATAAGTTCTCAAAGCATTCATTCAGTGAGATTTTTTTCCTTGAAGCCTTATTGATATTGAAAGAGAAAATAATCTAAGCGCATTCAAATAGATTTGAAAAATAATGTTCCAAATGTCTAAAATTCCTCTAAGACAGGGATGCAACTATTCTATGTAGAATGATGCTCGTTTTCTCAGATTTCTAAATATGTACTTTGTTAACTACTATATTCATTTCATATAAAATGCCTGGCCCACGACCAGTGGAAGGTGACCATTCTATTTTGTGATTCAGAAAGCTATGTGCTTCGTGTTAATAATTACTCTTTATAAAAATAATTTTTAGTGAACGGATACGTTTTGCTTTTATGATCAATGAGGCTCGACACACGCCTGGGAGTGAAAATGTATTAGATAGAACGACAATTAATGATGACTGGAAGCAGTAATCTCAGAGCCTCAGCAGGAGACCACAGTATCTAAACTGCATTCTAAGTAAGTGAGGAAAATGGAATCTTTTATGTATTCTCTTCATGATCAGAGCACCCTTTGATATTAGATCTATCTTTAAAAAGGGAGCAAATTTATTTATTTTTTTCGTTCTTTCATTCTTTCCTTTTCCTTCCCATCCATCCTCCCTCCCTCTATCCCTTCCTTCCCATCATGTCTATCATTCCTATTTAAAAAAAAAAAAAAAAAAGCAAAATAACAATGGACCATGAGAAGATATCAGTCTTGTCCAGTGGTCTGGGAGACAGGAAACCTTGCTTCTGATTTCGTCTTTGCCAATGATCTTGAACATTAAATAAATCAATTGATTTTTCGGGGTTTCGGGTCCTAAGTGAGATTGTAGATAATTACTAAGGGTGCTCATACTTCACAAATTCCACGCCCCCAAGCCCAAACATCCATAAGAAACTACTCATCCTGACAAATTTATGATTCCTTCCTTCCTTTTCACATCACTTCATCCCCCAAAAAGGCCTCAGAAAATGCCTTTAGAGCAAGAGTGAAGAATGAGGTCATACCTGGGGGTGCCACCATCCGCTGCCACTTCTGAAACAAGCAGGTCTTTAGGCAGTCTCGTGGACTGAGGTTGTAAGTTTTATGTCTCGACATCAGTTCCTGCATTGGCTCCAGAATTACACACAACTGCAAAAAGTTCAAAGACATCAGTCTTTTCACTATTTGATAATATTATTTGCAATAAATAATGTTAACAGCTGGAAACAATTAGAAAGCTCAAAGGTACTTTTCTTTTTTCCCCTGGTTTTTATTTTCTCTGTGCAAGTTTGGAGGAAAAGAAATATTACCAACACTTGATAATGCCCACCTAATTTACTATTATTTATAATACCATGTTATAACCAAATGTGATTTACACACACACACACACACACACACATCGAGAGACACATTCTGTACAAACTGTTGGGTGGATACATGTAGCTCTATTCTGAATTCAAATGATTCTCTCTGGTTAAAGAAAAAAGCTCTCTTCCATGGTGCACAGCATGCTCTGATTTCTACTCTGGTTTCTGCTGTTGTTCCTGTTTGTATAACCACACGCTGTGAGTTACAATGCTAGTTTATGTAGATTATGTGGCAGTGAAAGCCATCTTTTAAACTGTGGAGAACAAAGTGGCAACTACAAGTACTTTTTTGATCCTAATTCTTATCAAGGCCCATGATGAACACTATTTCATTTTTATTCATGTACTCATTTATATTTTACACATAATGATAATGTCAGTAACATATGCCAACATTAGTTCAGAGTAGGAGCTTTCTCTGTGGCTCTGTACACGTTTGCTTCCTTCCCTCCTTTGGTTAGATTTTTCAGATTTACTTTGGTCCAAGACATCTGATGACAAAAATTAATGAATGTAACAAGAAGGTAAATCCATTTAGGATTGCCTTGAACTTTTGTGAATTCCTTCTCAGTTGGAAGGTCATCAGGATACTGCTGTATTGAGAGTGCTGTATCTAAGAAGACAAAGACCACAACACAGCCATACACATATTGGCAAAGCACTCTTCCATGTGGAAAAATAGCATTTCATTATAAAAGGCAGATGTGCCTTCATCACCCCCCCCCCTTTTTTTTAAACACCACTCCTTTTCCTTCTGTCATTACTCAGAGGACATGCTGCTTTTTATCCACTGGTCCACTGGGTTCCCTCTACTTGGAATTCTTCCCTCCCCTCTTCTTGGCTAATGCCCACTCATCCTTGAAGACAAGGTTACTTCTTCCGTTATACCTTTGTCTCCAGGTCGTGCACCTCTCCCTGTGCAGGCTGAACTCGGTGATTCTTTATGGTTCTCCCATAGCACCCAGCCTTTTCTGCTCTGTGAACTTACTCATCCATGCTTTGGAACCCTCTGCTTCTAAGTCTCCTTTCTACTTGACCTTGAACTCTTTGAATGCCCAGACTGTGCATTTTTTCTCTCTTGTCCTAGGTTTGGCTCAATTGAATGGATGCATTTAAGGTGTCCTTGTAAAGACTGGAAGATCTTTCTTTCACTAGAACCAAATGAGTTGATTATTAAAAATGCAGACTTCCAGACTCTTCCCCTTCTGTTTCACTGGGTCTGGAACTAGGGTCCTGAATCTGCCTTTTGGAGAAGCATGCTCCTGTCTAATTCTGATACATACTACTACAGTTTGAGGTCTGCTACCCTACATATTCTGGGCTTTACGTATAAACAGAAAGACATGCAAATTCCCCATTGTTTCCAGTTGGAATTCCACTTTTTTGTCACTTAACCCCACTTGTCGATGTTCTTCCTTCCTTCTCAAGCCTAAGCATGATAATTGAGATTACCTTCATCTAGAAAAATGTTTCTGCTCTTTTTACCTATTGATGATCTAAACTTGGCCCAAACCACTAATTCCATTGACAGGAAAGCTGTAATCTCTTTCCCACTGCAGTTTCTCAGGAAGAAGAGAGCAAGAATTCGAAACCTGAATGACACAAGTACAGCGTGAGCCAGAGAGACAAAGCCACTCAATCCTAGTGAGTCGGGCTGTCAGGCATGAGGTCTGGATTAGTTTTGGGGCATCTTCAGCCTTATCTATCCTCCTGCTTACTTTGGAGTCCTTTCTGAAACTTAAAATGCTGGTAAGGAAGACCCCATGAAAGCGAGGGAAGTCCTGTGCAATTAACTCCACATCTGTGAAGACTCAATGTGTATATTCCTCCATTAAGAATTCCTCACTGGAAATCAAGGTCTGTGCAAGCTAGAGAGAACCTCAAGTCTGCCCCAGCCATTAATGCCCACCACTCCAAACAGAGTGAAGGATTTTGCCGTCATCTCTACAAACAGAGATAAGAGTGGATTATCCATCCAAGGAGAACCACTGCTAGATTCAGACAGGGTCAGAAGATGTTTGGAACTATTATTAAGCTAGGTTAGTAAGAAAAGGTTTCAGGGAAATTTTAAGGAATGGAAAAATGTGGTTTTTTTTTAAATTAAAATAACTAAGTTAGGTTTTCAACCATTTCCTTTGGTCCATTCCCCATTTTTGAGAAATGGGCTTACTGTGGATGTAAAATGCATGGATGGAGCAGAACAAGCATGGACTTAGAAGCCAAGAGGTCTGGGTGTGGATTTTAATTCTGTCACTAGGTGTGCAACCTTGGCTGAGCCCCTGAAGAGTGCTGGGTCTCAGTTTCACCTGTAAGACAATACCCAGCTTGTGTATTGTTGTGAGAGTTTGAGATCATAGATCTGATACATCAGAGTTCAATAAACAGTAGCTATGATGATTCTGTATTAGCAGGAACAGGACAGATTGTGAAACAAATGACATTTCTGTTCCTTTAAATTAACAAGCATTTATGGGGCTTCTTCCTAAGTGTCAGGCACTCTGCTTTGACACTGGGGACATAAGAAGAGGATAACATCACCTCTGTCCTTAGTGAGTATACAGCCCCCCTCAGAATGATTTAAGCATATTAAGAAAACCACTCTGGTGTACACATCAAGCTTCTTTGGGAATCACATGTTTATGAAGCAAGGATTTCCATGATATGACAAGTTAGATAGCCAAAGTGACCCCTGTGGACCCAGAAGGGCAGTGGGCACGGAACATATGAGCACACGGGACAGCTGCATTTATTGTGAGAACCTGTGAGCTCATTATCTACTTCTTTCTTGCAGGGGGTGTTCTCCTCTCCAGATTTTGGGCAGAATTTTTTCAGGTGCAAATCCTAAGGATTTATCCCTTCCCCTTTAATGTAAAAATATCTTCCCATCGCTGTAACCCACCCCAAAGGAGTTCCTATCTCTGAATACTAATCAGGAATCCCCAAAGCCATTTTTCTTCCAGAGGAGGGTTCCCAGGCTGGAAAGGCAGCCTTCTCCTGGATTCATGTGTTCAAATGAGGCTGCTGTGGAGTGCTGGGCTGCATGCTGTAGGTGGCAGAACTAACTCAGACAAGAGCCTGCCTTCTCAGGCAGAGAGCCAGTGCATTTTTGGCAACAGTGAAGGCCTGGGGCGTTCTGAAATGAGATCAGGAAGACGGTTGGGGGAGTGGGTTCCCGCAGTCACTCGCAAGTTCCTTCTGGAGCCAGGATTCCTGCTGTCCCTGGGGTCTTGGACCCCCCTGAGAATCTGGGGAAGGCTCTGCAGCCTCTTTTTTAAAGTTTGTACAAAATATCTGGAAGTTTATGAATCCTCTTATGTCCCTGTCCATTGACTCTAAGCAAAGTGTTCCCTGTTTGTACTAAGTATAAACCAGGCTACATGCCTTTTCCTCTACGCTACACACACACACACACACACACAGACACACACACAGCGACATGACCACATCTGTCAAATGCATATCAGTGGAACTAAGCATAATAACACAGAGTCTTTTGATTTAAAGGAACAATTGTGTCTGCAGAGTTGGGCCTGCTACAAAGTTCTCAGTGGACCCATCCCTTTGCCTGACAAGGACCGCCACAGCATTTCTACAGCATCTGCAGCAGTTTGCACTCAGGGCTGCCACTTAGTTCGGCTTCCTCCTGCAGTGGTGTTGAGGAGTACCAGGAGGAATTCTAGAGCACTGTGGAAGGGGCAGGTGTCAGCAAAGCCTGAGATCTCATTTTGAGTGTGAAGCTCCTGAATGTGTGGTCCCTGTCAGGTCCATCTAGGATCTCAAAGAAAGCTCTTGCTCATCCCAGCAAAACTGCAAGCACACCTTTCTGCAGATTTAGTGAGGATTTTAAGCGAGGCTGATGCTGCTATGCTTCTGACTTCATTTTCTGGGATTTGGGCCCCCGCACTGACCCTTTGGTATGGAATCAAAACCTGGAACTACAACAGCAACTTGCTGAGTGAGTACAAGGATAGTTGGATGAAAGATGGATGGATGAATGGATGGGTGGATGGATGGATGGATGGATGAGTGGGTGGATAGATGGTGGATGGTTGGGTAGATGGATGGATGGATGGGTGGGTGGATGGATGGATGAGTGGTGGATAATAAACAGATTGGCCAGACTTATAGCAAGGAGTCATTTGCTAATAGCAGACAAATAAAGCCTTGTCTTGGGGGCTTAGAGGTGATGTATTTGTCCATGTGATAAATAACCGATTGCCTCCCCTGTAGAGAAGGCTTTGCACAAATGCACATGCATGTGCCCAGTTACTATATGTCCAGGCCGGACAGGAAGATCTCAGCTCATCCTGGGACCTTTTGTAGTAACAAAGGGCCCAGCAAATGTACAGTATTGTGTTTTGCTTTGTTTTCATCTGACAGTTCTCCTGGAGAAATTTGATTCTCCTTAGCTATGTTTTCACACTTACTCTTCTTGCTCAACTTCTTGCCCAAACCCAGTTCCAGAACTAAGTGATGCTTGTTAGAGTTGGCTCTGGCCTATGAAAAAGCTGATGCCCTGAGATTGACATTTGGCTAACTCCCAAACCTAAGTCCTGTCTACTGACAACACTTTGATTCAGTTTTTCTGGATGATGGATAGTATCCTCTGGGCTTGAGCCACCTACTCTTTGCATATAGGCTTGCCCGAGATTAGTATTTCAGTACAAGCTCAGACTTTTGTTCACGTTGTTCTTCTTTCCTAGAAGACCTCCCCTCTTTCCCAGTCCTTCTAACTAGAGGCTGGCAAGCTATGGCCTGTGGGCTGAATATGGCCATGCT